AACCGAAACTCTTTGCGTTATGCGCTATATATTGAAATTCCCCTCAGAATGGTAGTGACACTAATGTGAATACGGATATAGGAAGAAAGATTTTCATCGATGTGCTTCTGGAAATTCCTTGCTACCCTCCTCAGGGTTTTTTTATGATGAAATCCTTGGTGAACAACTCAGCGGAGATAATGAGCTTCTCGGCGTGGCACAAACGCAATGGCTCTGTTCCACAGACGTTCCTATAGCCCTGTTCACTATTGACACGTGCACATAGGACCCCTTCTCATCTTAAAAAACCCCACTTCGCGGATCAAACTCCGCTAAACATATAGGATCTTTCTACCCTCTGCATGGTTCAAGCTTATGTTTAGTAGGGCTCAAATGGTCCAAGCACAAAGAACTAGTTGCTGCAGACCGGCGTAGAGTCGTTTTGTCCGTAAGTGAAGTCCCTCAAATCCGTATCCTATGATGTATAAACTATCTCAACGTTACTTTATATTTATTTACTTCAATTTACAATGCGGAGATTTTCAAATGGGATGGGGCAAGTTGTGTAGACTTCGGCAAGCCACCATTTCGAGAAATTTTCGATGGATTGGGTACTCGTACGGATCGGAACGATACATCAGATGAATCGGGAAGATCCAGATTCTGGAAAAAAGTTCCCAATGGGTATCTCAATAGCCGAAAAAGAAAAAAATGTCACTACCTCTACTTCTGTTACATAGGGATCGGCAACAGCCACCGTGTCTCCAATGAAAAATGTTAATGATGGGGCGCAATTATAGACAGAAACGGCAACGCAGTCACCGTCTGCATCCATCATTATTGATGTTCTGAATATAGATGTTGGCGACGTTAGCAGTGCCATTTACATTGCAATAATGGTTAAAACGCATTCTAAGACCAAATCGGAACTCACATCGGTACAATATCTTCATGAGGTACCGTCGATACAATTTTCCCTACCACAGCAACCCCATTGTTCGGCCCCTTTCCCAAATCTTTGAAACTTGTCACGAGCTTATGTTCAGCGAATGGATTCATAGCAGAAGCATTCGGAAGTGACGCTTTGAATTCGACAATCCGCTTGGCACGCAAGCCACCTAGAACGAACAGGAGTGAAAAAACAACTTAGAAGCTAGCACTATAAGCCGCACTATTACAATGTCACGACATCATAGCCTTCTACACTTCTTGCTCGACTGTGACAGCAAGGACCGTGAGCCTGATGATCAGAAAATGAGGATTGTGGCTTTGCAAGCAGGGATGCGCGCGC